TTCCCAGAAAAAATAATACTCAAGTAAAGTACAGATACTCAAAACGTGTACTTAAGTACAATACTCAAGTAAATGTACTTAGTTACTGTCCGCCTCTGGTGACTGCTAACTTTGAGCTTTGAGAACTTGGGCAAACACTAGTACAGTGAGGCCAATCACAGTAATGCACGTCACTCTTTAAATACTGTCTTATTTTGCAATGATCACCGAGAGAGAGATCTGTAGAAAAATAAAGTTCTCTTTATTATCACAGTATTTTTTGAATGCTTTGTCATTTTTATTGGTGCTTGCAACAACAAAGACGTTGTAGATTGGAAATTAAGAGCATTTCGTGCACAAAGTCTAAGGTACACACGTCACAGAGGTCAGAGGGGTCAGTCGTGTTATTGATGGTCCTTTGAGAAGACTTTAAGCATCTACAGGATTTGTTGCTGGGTGAAATTAATGGAGAAATGGGTTGCTCAACTCAGTTCTGAGAGCAGTACTTCCAGAAGCACACTGTTTTTGGAGAAACATAAACAGTTTATTTTATTATTATTATTTTATCATGCACTCAGCATTGTTTGTTATCCAGAACAATTGGTTTGCATCATACCTCTCTTGTTGGTTTTCTTAGCTGATGGAAGAGACTTTTTAAAGGCTTTTCCGTTCAGTTTGGGATCCATTTGGTCAGTGCTGGCCTTCGGTGAAATCCCACCGCTGTCTATAGTGGTCGCTGTGGTGGATTTCAGGTTTCCATCTGTCACTACCTGAAGGTTATAAAACATGATTTCTAGCATAAAGCACAAACGGAACTTTTTAAATATATTTATATCTATTGATTTCAATCTGAACATACCATTTTGTTCTTCTTCCCATTACTTCGTCCGTTGCCATTTCCTTTGAAGAAAGAAACAACACAACACAATTAAATTAAATTGAATTAAATTGTATATTATTCAAAAGTTTGGGGTTGGTAAGATTTTAAAGTTTTTGAAATAAGTCTCTTTTGCTCACCAAGGCTGCATTTGTTTGATGAAAAATATTAGTGTAACTTTATTATCTTGTAATATTTTTATTTTTATTTAGATTTTATTTTATTTTAGTTTTAGCAATTTTTATATTTAAGCTTAATTTCAGTTAGCTGCGAAGACAACATTTTTATTTTTCATTTATTTTTCATCTATTATTGCATCTATTTCATTTCAACTTTATTTTAAACTAAAAATATTATTAATAGTGAAAATGTGAAATGTTATTACAACTATAAATATTTTCTATGCGAATTTATTTTAAAATGTAATCTATTCCTGTGATGCTATCTGAATTTTCAGCATAATTACTCAAGTCTTCAGTGTCACATGATCCTTCAGAAATCATTCTAATATGCTGATTTGCTGCTCAAGAAACATTCTGATTATTAACAATGTTGAAGACAGTTGTGCTGCTTCATATTTTTGTAGAAACGATAATACATTTTATTTCAGGATTCTTTGATGAATAGGCTAGAAAGTTCAAAATCTTTTGGAACATTTTACATTTCCTTACTGTGGCTTTTGATCAATTATGATTCATTTATCAATTTATGATAAAAAAAAAAATTCGGGAGTGTATATCATTTGTAAAAGTATTTGAGGTTTTGGCTCACCTCTGGTTATGATGGTGATTCGATGGCTCAGTGTGTTGTTCATTAACTTGTGAAGCTCTTCAAGTGCACTCAGCATCTTCACCAGCTCCTCTCGAGCATCCGGCTCCCCCGTGATGGGATCAGATCGTTCAGCTGCTGATGGAGTGTTGCCGTACTCGTTTGATTCAATCACCTTTGACAGTCTGAACAGTCTGCTCTTCTCTGTTTGCTGCTGGGAATCGAGTGAACTGGTTGTGTGGTCAGTCCTCAGAGATCCATCACGGCCGCCGGGTGCTGGCGGAATCTCATCGTGACCATCAGAAAAGAGTGTTAGTGTCTTTAATGGATTATAGACTCCCATGTCTAAGGGTTTGTCTCTGATATTTGGGTTACTTGTCGCAGTAATTATCTCGTCTAACGCTCTCATCACTACGGTCTTTCCATCTCCGTCAGGAAATGTCGTCATTGGTCTGGTCTTCAGTAGCTTCTCAAAAATCCTCGTCGCTCGTGCTGCATTTTCCTGAATATCCGCGACAGTTCTCCGTGTACCTGGAGGGGAAAACATGCACTTTAGGGGTCGTTTAAATCTGTTAAAGCAACTCTATGTAGTTTTGCCTATTTTTGCGACTTTGGAGCCCCTTTTATTTATATATTGCCGTTATTGTTGATCGCGGTATTTCGTACTCGCTCACGTTTGGAGAACCAGTAAGAGACTATTAACTACTACTCTTCCTTTTAGTTAGTCTACTCTACACAAATGTAGACTTACTAAGCCCCGTTTCCCAGTTTACTGAAATCACATGACTTTGGCAGTGTGATACGCACTCGGAACTGGTTTGAAACAAATGATTCGCAAAGAATTCAAAGCTTCATGAAGCAGCTGCTTTAAAGGGTTAGTTCACCCAAAAATGAAAATTCAGTCATCATTTACTCTCCCTCATGCCATTCCTAACTTGTATGACTTTCATTCTTTTCTTTTTGGGGCGAATATGGACAAAAATTACAATGGAAGTAAAAGGGAACTGACCACTTTCTTCAATATATATTCTTTTGTGTTCCTTTAGTTCCTTTTAGTGCAATTTAATTAGTTTCAGCTACAGAAGAGTGTTTCCACGTCTCTAAAATTCCAGTTTATGGTTGGTACAAGAGTGATGCATACCCTCTGTTCTGTGAAGGGGTCTGTCTCATTTAGTGGTGTACCGTTGACACGGAATTGTTCCCATACCCATAGAAACAAGTCAGTGGGAATGTCAGTGCACTGAAACATCCTGAGAACCTTGAAAAGAGAGACATCCCGAACTTCAAACATCCCTTAAAATCCTATTCTTGGCTTGGACAAACATACACAACATAGCAGATGATAAATGGCTTTTGTCTGAGGAGCTTTCCTCCTCATCATTCTGATCTTAGAGGTGGACGCTGACAAATCGCTTGTTCACACTCATGTACAAGGCCTGCAGCCATGTTGACAGAAGTCTTGAGGAAGTCAAGGAGTTGTTAGGACGACCATAGTGCATCTCAGTGATGTGGCGGGGGTTTTGGTCTCATAGATATACAAAAAAGACGTTTGCAAACACTGAACTTGCCATCACTCCATTAAAAACTTTTTGAAGGGTCTCTTGATAAGATAATAGTAGTATTATCATCTTCATCAAAGGCAATCATGACCATTGTTGGAATGAAAAAGTGTACTACACTCTTAAAAATAAAGGTGCTTCACGATGCCATAGAAGAACCTTTTTGTCTAAATGGTTCCATAAAGAACCTTTAACATCTGAAGAACCTTTCTGTTTCACAAAAGGTTCTTTGTGGCAAAAGAAGGTTCTTCAGATTACAAAAAGGTAAGAAAGAGATGGTTCTTTAAAGAACCTTTGACTGAATGGTTCTTTGTGGAACCAAAAATGGTTCTTCTATGGCATCGCTTGAAGAACCTTTTGAAGCACCTTTATTTTTAAGAGTGTACAACACCAGATTCAATGTGTGCATATGGTACTAAATAAGCATGACATGAATTATTTGATCAGTTTAAGAACTGTTTGTGCATGTGCATTTACTTTGATATAAGTTATGAAAATGTTTTTTCTCTGAATGTTCAAAATGTCCAGTTTATATATATATATATATATATATATATCATATTTTTTAGGCCAGATAACTTCAAATGAACATTCTATTAATGATGCTGGAAGAACGCTTGTTCATAACCTTGCCAGAACGTTCTGAGAACATTCAATGTTAGATGGGTTATTGTTGCATGCAGATACTGTGCACAGTAAACATCCAGGTCAAGAAATGAATCAGAATTGACCTAAATGAAATCCACTGAAACTTAAGACCTAATTCAAGCATTATGTAACCCTACTTGAAACCCCTGAGCCAATTTTAGCAGGAAACCTAAATGCGAAATGACAGATTTAGGATTTGCACTCACTGGAAGTGTGGACAGCACAAGACCAATAGAAGACCACAAGAGCTGGCGCCACTGGACTAATTACTTTGGTTCAGCGCCATCTCTGAGTCTGTAGGCTTGACAACAGTGAAATAACATCTCACAGGACAGAGAAATCACAAATGAGATCTCTTTAATATGGCAAATGTCTCTTCTACACTCTTAAAAAATAAGAGTTATTTATCTATGGTATCTCTGTGAAAACCACACTCTCATCACCTCTCAGATGATTCTTATGAGAAAAATACCCCAGTAGTCTCACATGTGAGTATCAGAATAGATCTCAACAATGTCACAAACTGTGCTCATATGTGTATGCAATCAAAAGTCAGAGATCTCAATACGAAGTCAAGCATTTCTCATCAAATGCTCCCTAGATTAAACTTTCGGAGCTGCTATCCACATTTTGGCAGCTCTTAAACTCTATAATATGACAACTGTTGAATAATTTTTTTATCTGTTTTTAATTCTCTGAAGGAATTTTAGGAGAAAAATCTGAGACTGAGGTCAGGTTGGGACCATAAGGTTAGAAATCGGTGTTCCTGTATAGCTGAAATTGAATTTGTTTCATAATTTATGAATTTTACAACATTAACACTGTTATTTTCTTGTTTATTACTGTAAATATATGTATTGTACAAAGCGGTATATAAATGAATGTGACTTAAATATAGTCAAATATATATAGAAAATATATGAGTCAAATATAGGTTATGGCACTATACTGCAAACAAAAAAAATTAGATTTTCTTAGTTTTGTCTCATTTTCCATTAATATCTAATATCTAAATATTCTTTTATTTGAGAAGGAAAATTACATAACATGTTAGGTCTTGTTTTCTGAAGAATGTATCAAAATTAAGTGAATGTATGCTTATAACAAGAACAAATATGCCATAATCTTGTTTTCCCTTTGAATTAAGTTTCTTTTTCTTACCACACTGACAGATATTTTTTCTTTCTTTAAGAATAAACTCACATAATTTTGGTAGTTTTTTCAGAAAAAACAAGACTTAATATCTATCAGACCTCATAGTCATTTTACATCTTAGTTAGAAAGTTAGAAAATCATTTTTGCAGGGCAATGCCAAGGTCATGGGTTTATTTCCCAGGAAGTGCATGAACTAATTAAATATATACATTGAATGCAATGTAAGTTTTTAGATAACACCATCTGCTAAATGCATGAATGTAAGCTGTGAGCTGTTTTGGGTTTTTACCCGTCTCACCTCCATCAACTGGTTCTTCAAAGGCATCTGGTTGTCCAGGCGTCAACGGAGCAGCATCCAACACTGAAGCGACAGTCAGCAGAGCAACTGTGGTCAATAGTTTCAACATGTCCACTTTATACATCTCAGTGACCTGAACGTGAGACTATGAGAGCTAAATGAACGTTTTAGAGACTTTTAGATCAATCTTCTGTCTTTAAATGGCAATTCGTACACCTGCCACACTCTTTTACACTGATGCGCCTCTAAGATGAGAAGGCTTGTCAAGTGTGTGTATACCTAACCGTATTTTACACCGCGCTGCTTCTACCGTCACGTCACATCCACCGGCCCTTTTAAAACGAACACCCACACTGACACTGTCCAATCAGGTCGCTCATCCCTCCCTGCCACGTCCAGGTGTTGTGTGACATTTGGGGCCGTGTTTGGTATCGGGGTCTCCATTGTGAAGGTGGCAGCAGGCTGTGGGCCCTTCTGCGTCAGAGGCCCTTTTACTCCGGCCCCTGTGCAAACACAATAAGAAGTGCCTTATCACTGCTTACACAGCACCGCACCCGATGACTTTGAATCTGAACGACGTTTGATGTGTGCGCCAATGCAAATAGCCTTCATGCATATGAGAAGAAATTAGCATGACTTGAAGTGCAAGACGCATTTGACAATTTTTTTCAAAGTTAAATGGCATGTCCATGTCTTATTTACAGTATCTCAGTGTTATGTTAGTATTATTTCTATATTATAGTATTTATTCATATTTTGAATTAGCTTTTATTTATAGTTTTTTTTTTTACAATATAGAGCATTAATTAATTTATATTTCAGTTTTACTTTTTGTAATTTTAGTGCTTTAACTTAAAATTATTTCAGTTAGTTGGCAACAAACTATAAACAAATTATAAACTTATCGTATTAAAACTATTTCATTATTAGTTTGAATATATATGCATTTTGAGGTCTATATGGCCAGTCATGAAGTTCTATTTAAAATAGTTATAATAAATATTGATATAACTTTGTCATGATAAAATCTGTATGAGTTTTCTCTAATGACATTAGAACAACAGATCAACAGACATTTACTGTATATGAAAATATACATAAATATATATAAATAAATATTCATTATGAGTCCATGAGATTTGATGTCATCACACCACTTTTTTTACATTATTTCAGTGTTATTTTAGTATTATTTCTACATTATAGTACAGTATTTATACTATTAACATTTGTTTATAGTTTTTTATATTAATACTGTATATTATTAATATGAATATAAAGCTTTAATTAATTTATATTTTGGTTTTAGTTATTGTCATTTTAGTGCTTCAGCTTAAACTTCAGTTAGTTTAATAAAATTAGTAAAGTTTAATCAAATTTGTCAAATTTAATAAAACTAACTGAAAACAAATAATAAACTTATGTAAAAACGTCTCGGGTTACTTATGTAACCATGGTTCCCTGAGTAGGGAACGAGACACTGCGTCCTCTAGGGGTCGCTATGGGGAACGCCTCGTCGTGACTCGTATCTGAAGCATACATTGAAAAAACACCAATGAGGTTAATTTTACAATTTAAAATATTGAAAATTTTGAAAACAAATATGCATTGATATCATAAATTTCCATTGCTATTTTAGTATTATTCATCTATAATTATTTATTACTATTTTGAGTTTTTTAATATTTCAATAGAGATTTTTTGTTTCAGTTTTAGTTTGTGGAATTTTATTCCTTCAACATAAACTTTTTTTTTTTTTTTCATTTAGGTACCAAACAACATTTATGATTTTGTTTAAGTTTTTTCTTTATACATATGAGAAGAAATTAGCATGATCTGACACATTGTTGATAAAAAATATACTTCTATGAGAAAATAAATGAACAAATTATAAACTTACATAAAAAATATTTTTTGTGAATATAAATGCATTTTGAGGTATATGTAGACAGCCATTAACTTCTAATTAGAATGTTTATAAACACATATGTATTGATATAACTTTGCCATGATAAAATATGTATTAGTTTTCTCTAATGACACTAGATCAACGTCATTTGTATGAAAAAAAATCATAATTTACCTTTGTCCATGAGTTTTGATGTCATTACACCACTTTTTTTTTTACAGTATCTCAGTGTTATTTTAGTATTATCTCTATATTATAATATTTATTAATATTTTAAACTAACATTTGTTTATAACATTTTATTAATACTATATATTAATATAGAGCTTTAATTAATTTATATTTTAATTTACATTTTGGTTTTAGTTTTTGTAATTTTAGTGCTTCAACCTCAACCTCAATTAGTTTAATAAAATTAGTACAATTTAATAAAACTAATTGAAAATAAATAATACACTTAGGGGAAAAAAATGATATGAGATTTATTTACGATTTAAATATTTAAAATTGTGTAAACAAGTATGTACTGATAAAATAAATTAGTCATGACATTTTTTTACAGTACCTGCTATTTTAGTATTATTTATATATTATTATGTATTAATATTTTGAGTTTTTAAATATTTCAATTAAATACCCCCCCACCCCACAGTTTTTGATTAATTAATTTTTAAGTTCTAAAGTTTTAATTCTAATTTTTAAATACTATATTTTTTTAATTCTACACTTCTCACGATTTGAGGAATCATTCATGTCTAGAACCCTAAATATGAGCTATAGTGCCTCAGCAAGCATCTCTAATTAAAGCAAATTACTTTAGGATTCAAGTAAGAAAATCTGTAACATTCCCTCTCTCCCGAAACTCTGGAAAGTCTGGCTGTGAAACTGCACGTGTTCCTACTGGAAGTTAATGACAGAGGAAGTGCCAGTTTGTGTTTGTTTTGACAGTGACGTCAGGAGAGAGGGACGGGAATGTGGTCAGAGACAGAGACAGAGGAACGGAGTGGACAGACCTCAGTGGAGGTTGCTAGGGAGAAGTTAAACCGAGAGCATCCAGCAATTCATTACCCTTTCAGTCTGAATAAAGTCACCACTTTTGTGAGAGAGCGTCAAAACTCGTGTCCTGCAGACAATAAACACACACCGTCTCTCGCTCTGTCTCTTGAAAGTAAATGTTGTCCTGCTGTAACCTTTTCTTGTTTGTTTGTTTGTTTGTATATCAGTGTCGGAGTCAAAACCAGATTCTGTAAGAGCCAGAACAAAACCCAAGACACAAACTGCCCAGTTCAATGAACTTTTTGCATCATTCATGTTCCTTGCAGAGATCAGAGCATTTTTTTTCAACATATATCACAAATATTTAATTATATTTCATATATGTCATCCTTTTTGTTTCTATATATCATATATATGAAGAGTTCCGATGCAAAAGCCTCTAAAAGCCATCTTGGTCAAAAATGAGATATCAATACTGAGCGATTGCTCTCCACACACAGCATATGTTCATCAAGTACTTTCACTTCAAATGTGATAAATCCCAGCCTCAACCCACTCAGAAGTACCAGTACTTGCATAGAAACCTATACATAGTAGCCAGAAAGAAATGCTAATTTTAAAGAAAAACGTCAGATGTACTTAGAGGCTTTTGCATCTGAACTCTTCGTATATTATTACATTTACCTGGTGTATATTTTACTTTTAGATTTTCCCCGTCAACTCAGGATAATCGCTTTAATCTTATTCCCCTCACCTTCTGAAATCCTTCAATAGAGGGCAGTGTTGGATTTAATTTATCTTGTCTTGCATATGATGCCAATGTGAGAGATGAAAACGATCAGCTGTTTAATCTTAATCTTAATTAGATGTTTTTCCTGCAGTATTTTAGGCTACTGAACATAGCCTGTTAGCCTACTGAAAACACATCTGTTTACTTGTGTATTCATGCTGTGCTGCATTATTTTACTTGAGTGTATGTCATTCATTTGTATCACGATTTCCACAAGAAAACGAAGCAGCACAACCGTTTCCAACATTGATAGTAAACAGAAATGTTTTCTTGAGCAGCAAATCAGCATACTAGAATGATTTCTGAAGGATCATGTGACACTGAAGACTGGACTAATTATGCTGAAAATTCGGCTTTGATCACAGGAATAAATTACAGTTTACAATATATTCAAATAGAAAAACTTACTTTAATATTACTACATAAATGTATTTTTTTAAATCAAATAAATGCAGCCTTGGTGAGCAAAAGAGACTTCTTTCAAAAACATCACACAATATTGTGGACCCCAGATTTTGAATGATAGTGCACATTCTTGAATTATTTATTTATGAGAAATAAAATTAGACAATATTACAACGTCTGAATAGGACAGCTAAAATATTTCCATTAAAACACTTTAGTAACACGTGATGCTGAGGATGAGAGTGTGAGCACTGGGCAGGAGGAGATACAGATGATGAGCGTGAGGCCTGGACAGAGAAGGGAAGGGAAGGTCAGGCCGCAGAAAAGAGCGATTTGTTTTCAGTGAAACTGGAGATCCTCCCCCACTTACCGCCGGCGCAACCTACAGCGGAATCAATTACCACTTGTCAGGATGAAACCAAAGCCATGCAACACAATAAGGGCACGACCTAAGAATTTTGTGTGAGCGGCCGTGTGTGATTGTGATTTTATTTGTCTTTTATTTATTTGTTTGTTTGCTCGTACAGAGCAAGGCCCTGGCTCAAATACCAGTATACATTTATTTTATTTTAGAAATAATATTCTATTCTATTCTATTTTTAGGTCCTTGTTGTTAAGTACAGTAAGGTTTTAGGGCATATAGCCTATTATACAGCATACTAAATATATATTTGCAACTGCAAACAGCCAACTAATTAACCATATGATTTGGCAAAATAATTGTTTATTGTTCATAAGCATTAATCATAAATATTATAATTTATTGTAATCAGTGTATTTTATCATATTGCTGTTTGCAAGTACAAGTCACTCTATAGGTTGTTTACAGTGATTTTAGCACATTAAAATATTTTGCAACATGCATCAATAGCATACACTGTAAAAATCACAAACACACACACACACACACACACACACACACACATACACGCACACACGTTTAAATCAATGTGTTACTTGCTTAAAGTTGTTAAATTTACTAGTAATTTCTGTATATTTCAGAAATGTATGTATTTAAAGTTTCAACCTTAATAGACCAAAATGTATTTATGGGGCAAGAAAATACATTTAGAATCTCACAGTAGCCTACATTTAGACTTTATTCATTATTTATTTTT